GACCAAAACCCCAAAACCCCAAAACCCCTTATTGCTAAATAGCAATTTTGAAACATGAAAAGTAAAATCAATTAATTCATCTTACCGATAATAATAATATATACATTAAAGTACTGAGAGAGATAATGGAAGAATAAAAATTTAGTAAGATAATGTCACTAACATACGAAAATGAAAATTCAACATTTTCTATGTAAATGGATGAATTTCCGAACAATTTCGACTTTAAGGCAGTAATTATGGATCATGATTTAGATAAAATGTTGTCTAAGAATAAAAAAAATCCTCTCCTATTTAATAAAGGGTTTGCAAAGAAAGTTCAAAGCTTCTCACCCATTTAGTCAGAAAGTAATAGTTGAAGAATTGAAATCGTAAAGCCAAATTCATACGATACAGACAATATAATTGATCCTCTTAATATGAATAAAAATGAGGATGAAACCTTTTAAAAAATGGATTTCTCTCAAAATTAAATGCCAATTGACCAAATAAATGTTAATATAGAAAATAGTGAGATTCCGAATATAAATGGACAAATAAGTAATAACTAGAGTTACCTATTAAGTGATGCTATTAAAAGAATAACAGACTTTCATTACAACAATGATAAATACACTGAAGTGAAAAATAGGGCTGATGAGATGGATTCAATAATAAATATTTCTCATCGGGAAAGAGAACCAGATTCTGCAATGCTAAAATCTTCTAAACATCAAAAGATGCTTGATCATTCACCTATTTAAATGAGACGACAGCTAACTCCCAAGAGATATGTTAAGATTGCTAAGAATAAAGCCAACCCCTCTACATCACCAATGATAATGCCAAAAAATACAGGAGGATTAAGGAGAATGAATAAGGACAAATCGCCTATGTCAGCATTAGAAAGGAAAAAGGATAAAGATAATATTGATGAAAAAGAGATAAATTTGTTTAAAAAGAAAAAGATAAAAACAATTAGGTAAGGAAAAGGTGATGGTACTTTAAAAACTAAAAAGGCTAAGTAAAAAGATAAGCCTTTCCCAGATCTTTAATCATAAGGAAGTTTAGATTCAATTAAGAGTGGCTTTGGTGGAGTATAAGGACTCTTAGATATCTTTCACAATAATAAAGGTAAAGATTCTGCCAGAAGTGAAATGGATAAGTATTAATTAAGGAAAAAAACTATTAAGAATGAGGAGAAAGAAAAGTAGAAAGATGGTCCCCTAAAAGGGATTTTATTAGATCCTAATCGTAAAAAGTAGATGAAAAAGCATTTTGTAGTATTTGTAGATTTGCCAGAATTTAAAGAAGGTGACGAAGAAGCTATTATAAATAAGAACAGAAAGAAGTATAAAAAGGAAAGAGAATAGATAAACATTCATAGGCTGAAGAAGAAGCTTCATAAATTTGTTATTAAGCCAAATGATCCGATTCTAAGTACAATCTATCCAAAATACTATTTAAGTGATTAAATAGAGAAGAAGAAGTTTGTTACTGAAATTGAGGTTTGCAAAATACATGTGAGCGACCTGAAAATTAAAGGATTAAATGACAAATAAAAACTACAATAACTATAGATTAAGTTCTAAAAGAAAAACAAACCAGCTGATAACGGGGAAATCTTTAATAGCTCAATTAATGCTCTGAAGAAGACTATATAATTTTCTGATAGAAGTAAGTATCAATAGTTTTGTTAATAATGATTTTCAAAATAGAGACCATACTTTTCGAATTAGAGAATACATTACTCTATCCTGTATATAGGAAAAACTAAGTGATGACGTATGATGTATCGACTTATGTGAAATTAATTGGCCAATAAACCTTTAAACTCTATTTGTCTTATCGAAGTTACCTAATTGAAATGCTGAGTTAACTAAAAGAGGATTTTGAACTCATCTTATTTTCATCTAAGAATTCATTGAAATATGTTGAAAAGGTTGCTGAGGCTCTAGAGAAGGATAATGAAAAATTCTTTGATCACATTATTTGCATTGATGATATGTACTACTACAAGGATATAGATTTTTACATTTTGGATTTGAATGTGCTATTATTTCAAGCCAATTTACCTAACACGATAAATGGTAATAATGTCAATGTCCAAAGTCTTTAGTAATCCCAAAGCAATCTGGCATAAGATAAACTGTATACTTAGTTAAATCATACTATGAATTAGGCTAAGAATTCTGAACAAACAGCTGCATCTAATTAACCACAAAAGCCACTTATTAGAAATCTTAAGGATGTTATTGTTGTAGCTAATACATGTGGTACTTATATGTTCAATTTATATAATGGAATACCTCTAAAAGAATTTCACGGGAATAAATAGGATATATCATTATTCTCGCTTACAAGATATCTAAAAACCTTTAGGGATGTCAGAGATGTGAGAGTTAAAATTAAGGAAGACTTTAACTTGTAAGTATCTTAATAATTCCTAACTAAATATTTAGGAATAATTGATGATTAGAGATTTTGGGATTCTAAAAATCATAAAAATGTCACAGTAAACATTCTTAATGAAATTTATGAGTGTATAAATATTTGCCGTATTTTAAATTTCAAATATTATCACCTCCAAATTTAGAAAATAAGTTGACTTACAGTATTAAGGGGTTTTGGGGTTTTGGGGTTTTGGGG